AAATCATGCACAGCTTCATTCCATCTGAAACTATAGAAAGCTTACTGGGAAAAACAAAGGAATAAAGCGAGCCTAAAAAAAAAGCGAGCAAGAAAAAAAAAATGAGTCTGCATCCATCTGTATGACTGTAATACAGACCAAATTTCGGATATTATTTAATATAATATCATAGAAAATATCATCAATATATGCATTACTTCCCCCAGAAACAGCATGGACACCTGAAAAAACAAAAGACAATCAACATATGCATGAGCTACAACTATTTCCTTCCATCACTTCCATGATTCTTCCCTTCCCTGTAACCCTCAAAATAAACTGAAGGTAAATTTTTACCCATTAAACAAAAACCTGGAGATATATGAATAACTGCATTTTCAACGCATTAAACCGGTTATCCATAGATCTCGATAACGAGCAAACACAACACATCCTGAAACTGAGTTAAAACAAAAAGCGGGTTTACTCACCTTGACTGGGAAGTACGATGATCGGTATGCCATGTGATCCCTGCCACACAGTGGTGGGTGTTCCTGCCGCAAGTGCATCTCCAGATGAGAGAAGAAGTCCACGTCATCACGGGATGTAAAAGGAAGAAATGCCCCAAGACTACCCATCACAGTCCCGTAGATAATGCACTCCCCACCACCCGGAATGAGAGATGCCTTGTTTAAGCAAGTGACAACATCGCCCACATGGAACTGAACTATCTCCTCGACTTTGTTGGGAGCACCATTCAGCTTCCCCTGCTCCCACTTTATCTTGCCGCCAGTTGGATCCTCTTCGATCTCGTCTGACACGTCCTGAGGCAGCCGCACAAAGTAGACATTTCCGAATTTGTCAGCCCCTGCCATGGTGTCGAAATCCACGTGGTGTGCTGCGGTAAGCCATCTTGGGACAGTGTCGTCCGCGAATATGTAGAGCTGGTTTTCATCTCGTCGATACTTACAGTAGTGAAATGACTGCACCATTTTTTATTTTTTTAAAGAAAAAGGAGGGAGAGAGAAGAAAATATGCATGTAATTGTCAGTAGGAGATTGCCAAAAAAACAGATGGAATCAAGATACTGAAATAACTAAATTTAAAATCATCAAAAAAGTTGCAGATGAAGATTTTATATTTTAAAAAAACCTCATTAGAAGGCACAACACCATACTAAAGTAGAAAAGAAAAACTGCAATACATAACTAGTTCTGCCAAACATTTGATGCCCGAAATGTAAACTTTTTGAGTACTTCAAAAACACGTAATAGTTAAAAGAAAACATAATATTTCTGAGGCATTTAATTGTTAAATTCATCATCGTATAAACCCAAGTTTGATACAAATGTTAGTACAAGAATCTGTTCTTACAGTCCATTAGTCGGAATGAGGGGGAAGAAGGACGATATAACCAATGGCACACATAAATAAGGTAGGTGCTCTGAGAACATACCTCTTGCATATCACCAACGTAAATCCGATCACGGTAAGTGTGAATGGATGTGATAGTGTTGGGAAACAACTTATTCTCACACTTCCGGAGCAACCTCCTTTTCCCTAAATCGTACAATCTAAGCACAGGTCCTATCCCAGCTAACAATCTTCCCTGGAATTGGCACAATGCAAGGGGAACACCTTCCACTTGTGTTTTGTGCAAAAGTTCAAGGACCTTCCCATCTTCCTTAAATCTATATATATGTATAAACCCAGCCTCGATTGATCTTTTGGGCCAGAACTTAAGGCCCTTTGCTGTCCCCACCGCTAGAAGAGTCCCATACTCCTTATCGTGGAAATTTACAATGCACATGCTGAATGCAGCTTCATTATCCTGAAGCTCCAGTAAACAAGTTGTTTGTGCTGTCCTTGGATCAAGAACTCTGATGCACGAAACCCACTTTCCAGACTCTGTCTTTGGGTAACCATACTGTTCATCAGAAAGCGGATTAGAGCTCTCCTCGTCCTCACCATTCTCCATCTGCTCAGTGTTTCCATTTTCTCCCATTCCAGCTGCCTCAAACGACTCTTTTTTTGCAGCTTCACGCTGTTCTGCAGTGAATGCCCCCTGATCACTCTCGATCGTCACTAATAGCTTCCTTTTGGGCTGAAGTACAAACTTTCTCGGGGTATACCTCAAAGGTATAGCTGTCTCGTTGAATGACTCCCCCAATCTCTCAATGGTGAAAACTCTCAGAGCATCTCCAGCAACAGAAACAACGCCTTCCGCACACTGGTCGGATGAAAAAGATGCGGCATATTCCAGAGTCTCGTACGACAAAGGAGTCAGGAGGAAGTGCCCCTGGTGTATATAGCCGAGCCAAGGTCTACTCGACAAACAAAGCATGGCCCGCCGTCCTCTCACGACAATGGAGAAGAGTTTTGGTGCTCTGAGTCCTAAGAATCGAGAGCGGGCATCAGAAAGCTGGCCAGTCACCATATCCACAACTGTCCTGAACAAAACTCCATTTTGCAGACCGGCGTTTAGAAAGAGGCTAGCCGGGTGGTCAGCTCCATCCTCCCCTCCTACAGAAGCCTGAACCTCAAGAAACAGGAGAGACTCTGGAGGAGATGAAACGCTCTGCAAACTCAGGACCTGCATACAATCATCAGGATCCAAAGATAAGATGCGGATGGTATTGTCAAAAGATCCAACAGCAAGGAACCGCGACCTCTGTCTTCCCTCCGGGACAGGGGCAATATCCAAACAGGCAACATCTCCTGACATTTCGTGCTTCTCGACCTCCATGAGCTGCCCTGTCATATCAACTTCAAAATATATAAGCTCCCCACCACTCAAGGCAATGACAACCTGAAGTCTATTGGACCCAACCTTGACAATCGTTCTCTTCCCAGGAGTTCTCCATTCGTTAATACGGCCATCTTCTCTGATATGCCTTATCCCGCTCGGGTGGACTTGCATCAGAGAGTCGTCCCCGATCAATGAAACAGCAAGGGAAGGTGTCGTGTCAAGAAATCCACTGTCACTAACCTCTTCAACAGTCTCACCAATAGAAAGCACGAGAGTGGCATTTGCGAATGAAACAACAATGTAAGCATCAAACTCGTCATTCACGTTCTTTTTAACAGTCCATACGGCACTTGGAACACCTGGTAGCTGAGACACAGCCATCTCACTAATTGCCAAGCCTGGCCTCAATATCCGCAGAGATGAACGAGGACCCCGTCCACAGAGTGAGAAAATCTGAGAAGTTTCCTCCTCAAATAGGTTAATGACTTTCATGTCCATTATCGGCATCAAGCTCTCAACTTGGTCGACCCTAAGCAGATTCTTCAGCTTCCTTGGTAGGAAGTAAACAGGTTGAAAACCTTCTTCAGTTTCCATAAGTGTAGCCGACGACGACTCTACATCAGGTTCGTCTCCTATAGACTGAAATTGATACAAGGCATGGTTTCCAAACTCCGATGCAGCGAACAGGAACCCTGATTTCAAGACACACAATGAAGATGTCACAGGAATAGTATCAAAATATTTAATTTTCAGCTCTTTCACTCTTTCATTATCATGATCCAAGGTCACTCTAAAGATGTCCCCAAATTCAGTCTGCAAAAGGAAGAAAAACATGGTTTTCTGCCTGTGCATAGCAGCCGAGACAATCAAGACTCCACGCTCAGCCGGCAGGTCCTCCCGCCTCGGGATAACAGCCCTCACATCCGGATGCCCCTGATTCTTGTATATGACAAAATTTTCAGCACACACAAGCACACCACTTGGCCCATCCCCACCACCTGGGACAGTCACAAGCATATTAGCAGCATTATCAACCTGCTCAGACCATTTCCTCGAAACATGGTTCAGACCCAGATCCAACTCATAAAAGGTCACATACTTCTGTGGCTCATTTCCAGCCTGACCCGTCGGATCCTGATCAGCCTCGGAATAATCCAATTCTATAGCTGCAAATATAGGGTTGTCAAAACCACAATCCACCCCACAAATCGAATAAACGATCGTGTGGCTCTTATGAGCCTCTAGAGGCGACGAGATAGTCAACCTAGCTGCAGTATCCCTGTTCAAAACATAAACGAGCTTCTGCTTCTCGCAAGCACCAACCATTACAGCTCTGCCCTTGGGGTCGACAGCCAAGTACTGGCCGGGGACGATCCTTCGGCATCCCGATTTCCCGAAGGTCTCCTGATGGATCTTTTCGAAGATATTCTTTTCCTTGTTGTACTCGAGAATGACAATGCGGCCGGAATCCGAGCCCACGACAATGTAATCTTTCTGCGCGCCAGTAAGGCGAAATTGGGCTAGCGAGCGAATAGCGCCGAATATTTCCACCGACAGCAGGGATTGGAGCTTACCGTTCTCGTCTGGGCGGAGGAGGTCGAGGACTTTGCCGCGCGCGACGACGATTTCTTGGAGCTTTCCGCCGGAAAAGCTGCCGTTGATGGCGCAGAGTATTCCGGTGGCCTGCTGAAGGGTGAGGCTGTACAAGTACATGGCTATGAAGAAGAAATCGGCGTCGGAGGAGAAACTGGTGAAGAAAGTACAGTAGGATTTTGAGAAACCCTACGATTTTGGGGGTTTTTCCAAAAACCCCATTTTTTTCTAAATTGCGTATTGACCCCGATACTTGAGCTTTATAAGAAAAGAAAGCAATCAATATATGTACTTTTATAAATGTTGATGATGAATGTATACATGTGTACTCTTCGAGTCGACTAAATATATGTATAAGACTGGACACATCTAAAATAATAATTTCTTGGAGCCGACAAAAAAACAATCAATATTTTACAATTATAAACTAAACTCGAGCTGGTTGTGCGTTTACAGCCGAGTGGGCCGCTAGTACATACTTATGCTATGAAATGTCATACTTTTGTTGATATTATATCTTAAAAGGTGACAAATGAGTACAAAAGTATCTACATTTGTTGGGGGAAAAACAAATACAAATTGTCTAACCATTAGACAGCATAACACAAAAGACATACTTGTAGCAAGAATGTGGCTTTATCCTATACTCATCAAAATGCCAATAAATATTTTGCCTTAGTCATGAGGGGCCTGTTAGCAGATCATATTCCCCAGTTTTTTTCCTTGAACCTCTATTTTCTCCACGAAAATCGACTTTTTTCGGCCCCTCGTCATCCATCTCAATGCTTAACTCTTCGGCTTCCTTGTCGGGAGACCTCATAACGGATTCTTGATTAATGTTGTTGATTTCGTCCGATGTCCTTGAACGCGAGTCGGTTTTCTTCTTAGCTTGCTTGTGCCATTTCTTGAGTGCCCTTGTGGTTTGTTCGTTGAAAATCGCTGTTTTCATGTGAGTACCCATCTGGCTCGACCGAAACAACATTTTTTTTAGCTATTTTCTAGAAACTCTTCGGACTTATAGAAACACAATGCTTATATATACTATAGTAGTTTCGCACAACAATCAGTTCGAAAATTTTTACTTGTGTAACAAGTGCATAAAGTGGAAGGGTAATATAACTGCACAAAAACTGAACACCTATCCTGCATATAAACATGAAAACAATGAGTTGGATTTGCTACATTTTGGGGAAAAAAATGAAAAGTAATAGTAATAATAATGATAATAATAAGACTTACCCGAGCGCGACTCTGACGACGGCAAGAATGAAATAGCTATGAAAGCACGAATACAACCCGAATTCGTACTGGCGAAAAAGAGTTAAAGAAACAGCCAAAAGATTGAAATTTGCAAAGGAAAAAATTAAGGAAATGTAATGAGGCTCGGGTTTTGTTTTTACCGTTATCCAAATGAAATACGTAATCTCGAATGCATTCTGGTAAAACAGTACGAGGAACAAGAAAAAGCACGAAAATCAGAATTGTTTGTAGAACACGAGACCGGAAAGAACTCGAAAAAAAAAAAAAAAGAAGAAAAAATGTACTTTTTTTCGACCTGAAAGAGCGTAAGATGAATGAGATAAAGAATGAACTCAGGCCAGTGGAACCAAAAATGGCTGTCGGATACTTGGATGAGCGGTATCCCTTGAACGATAATGTGCCTTTCTTGTATCTCGATAGCCATTTTAGTTATGATCGATTGCAACTTAGTCCCGACTGATAAAATTATCTTTACCAAATCAAGAAATCAATTAGTCTTTCCTTGTGTTATAACTACTGATAATATCCTAGATTTTTTTTCATAAACTAAGCAGCACGTGTTTTGTATGCGAATTTTACCACTAAAGGCATAATCGAGAGCCAGAACATAGCTTGCCATCCTAAGTTAAGTCACAAAACAAAACAAAAACAAAAAAAAAAAGTTACATAATTTGTGTTAATTTATAGCGGCAACAAACGAAAGAACAAGAAAAAAGAGAACCTTTGACGTTCACAAGAAGATAGACTACAGCAGCAAACCATAACACCGGGCTGAATTAGAGTATCAGATGAAAGTTAATTAATAGGAAAAAATAGTTAATAATTTGAACATATATATATAGTAAGCTTTTAACGAGGGAGAAAAAAGTCGTACTGTATTCCAACAATCTCTTTGAAATCGTCTTCCAACGACCTCTTAATGTACTTTTGGAAATTAAACTTAGTTCCCGGAGCCAAATGGACCTATATACAGCATCACATTTCAAACAATATTGTGAATTCGAGTTCATTTGACAATGCACATTTTGATTGAAAAAAATAAAAAATAAAATAAGAATGCTCACCGATACGAATCCATGGCGCAAGGTCAAGTAGTCCGCCCTGCGAACCGACCTAAAGATGTGCCGGAAAAAGCAACCCTAGTATAAAAAGTTAACTACTTTCTAGACGAAATAATCGAATTGTGATGAAGGATAAATTTCTTGATATATCTCTACTAATAATGCCATGGCGAAAAAGATTAATTTGTTCTCACAATGTGAAAAAAGACCGGGTTTCGAGCCCATGGGCTGTTGTGGCCTTTCACGAACGATGTCTCGTGCGTGAGCCTAAAATTATCCGGGTCTGTGTGAGATTTTTCCAAAAAAAAAAAAAAAAAAAAAAACCTTTAAACAACAAAAGTAGAAGTAACGGAGAAACAATATGTGCTAATTAGGAAGTTAGTTAAATTAACCGTTGGATGATTTTGTCGCATGTTCGCTCTCTCTTTCCCATTCTTTCCATTCCCGAATCTGCGCCCGACGATGATATCATACCAGAAAAACGAAAGACACCTAAATTAATAATATTTATAAATCACGATATGTTATAATAAGTAACTCGAGTAGCTCTTTTCAGCTGATCTACCAAAGCTACTAAAAGAAATCGTAAATCACAGTAAAAAATAAATGAGCAAAGTACACGCCTTCATCCTCCCGAGCCTCATTGTGGTAGCGCTGTAAACGACATGAAACACCGCCAAAAAGAATATGAATATATGCAATTGGTGTAATCCATGGGTAGATATAAGCGGCACAGAACCCTGTTACAGCGCATAAATGGTAAAAGAAAAATAATAATAAACGGTAAGAAAGATTAATGCTTTACCAATTATAGTGCGTATATGAATTGTCGAATTTAGTTCTTACGCTTTCACACTCTTTAGCCGGGTGATCGGCAGCTAAGATCCTCTGCACCTCGTCCCACAGGAGCCTACGGTGATGATCGTCCCCATTACCATTTAAAATCAATCTCCTTAATAATAATCTCCTCCTATCGATCGTGTGGTGGTGATTTTCTTGATCTCCTTCATGAAAACGTGGCCTTCTCAAGTTACACGGCAACATGGTGTTGGCATATCGCTCGGATATGCAAATACGGGTAATGTAGTTTTGCCCGAATGTCAAAATTAAGGAAATGAAGCCAAGAATCATAAGCTCTGAAGAAAAAAAAGTGAGTAGATTTTAGGAAAAAAAAAAAATGTTAATCCAATGGTTTGACACTATATATTGTTAAAATGCTGGTCTTACCGGACTTAATCTTCTCGAGAGCTTGAAGCAAAGAAAACTTCTTTCTCCTTGAGAAAGTCTGCAAACATAAAAAAGGATAATTTGCATTATCTTTTTTTTTTCCCCTAAATGAACAAGTATTATCCCCCCCTACAAAGACAAAATAAGCAAAATCGTAATAAGCCTCGAAATCCCGGCCTGTAAACTTTCTAAAACGGGCGTTCAACAAAACGAAAATATACATGAAATGGGTTTGAATTTTTCCGAAAAGTAAATAGGGGAAGAGGAAAAAATACCCCTCCAACTTTGTGAAGAGTTTTCTCCAATAATATGGAGATAAGGATGATAATCGAACAGACTAACGAAACGGCCCATGTTGGAGTCTGGTCGAGCTCCCTTGAACCTTCAGTTCCTCCATTTCCACCAGCCATCTTTTTATTATTATTATTTTTTTATTTTATTTTTTTTTTTTTTTGTTCTGTTTCTTTATTTCCTTTTCAAAACTTTTTCTTCTTTTTCGGTAGATTACGTACAGAAAAAGGAGAAAAAACGAACATAACGAAACAGGAAAACGATCATATGTCTGATTTCCAGGTGGAGATGAAGGAATTCAGGGTTATTTCATCTGTGTTTGATGGTAATGGCTCTGTTCTTGTTTTTTACTTTAAGCTTTTGGCATTCAGGAGAAAATGGTGGCCGGTCCAAGGTAGTTATTTTTTTTTTTTTTT